TTCTCTTGTCATTGGTTTTTGATTTGGCTTTTGAGCAGTCGCTTGTTCATGAGCCAGATAGCCAAAAAACTGCTGACATTCAACGACAGACGTTTAAGCTGGTTTTTCCTTCGGTTAGGGGTCTAGAGTTATAAATCAAATCTAATATCAACCTGGAATTAGCAGAGGTTTTCAAAAGTACATTTTATCAGACCTCTGGCGATATCACTGCACCTTATACTCTTTGCGTCCACAGCACAGGGACTAGGCCGACAGAAAATGGCGTTCAAACTACTACAAACAAAGTAAGTTCCACGGCTATGGTATTGGAATGAATGGACATTCGCAACAGAGTTACTGACCTTACTAGCGAGCACTTAGTTGCGGCTAGCGCCAAACAACAAGGTGAGTTATCGTGTCCTGTCGAGATCATCATCTTCAGCCGTTTGCGTGAGCAGAACGTCTCTGGTTTGTGATCGTGCGTACCCGCTGTCTTCGCGACGTTTCAACACTTTTGCCATAAGGCACCGGCTAAAGCATTTTAAGAGGAACAACCTCTCTCCTGAAGCAAATCCGCATATTCTTTATTCCTCAATGTTGCATATTGCCCTCCTTCTCAGCATTAGCCATGACGAGGCGCTCGCCAGCTCTGAATGATTGATGTTGAGCCAGTTTTTCTAACAGGGCCAACCTCTTAACCTCAATTTTCAGGTCTGCTGATTTCGCCTGTGTCCGGAACGGAATCAAGCCATTCTTAAATAGTCTGTCATTTGGCCCTCATTATTCGTCGACTTGGTCGTCAGAGAAGTAGCTTCTTCGAACCGGTCACGAGACAGTTGTTTGCCACAGCGGTTCTACTACATATTCTACGCATCTGATGGTGATGATGACTATGATTATGCTTGGTTGTTTCGTAACCACCACTGGTAACGTCATCAGAATGAATCGAAATGTCACATGTGAAATTTGTAGAGGAACGGATCTACTTAAATAAGAGCTCAGATTACAATTTTGTATTTAGCATCTTAAGGCGAAAATAATGTAGTATGTATCGACGAGGATTAAGATTAAGCAGTTCATTCATAAGTTGGGTTTAATCGTCGGATCGTCATAATCGGACCTGAGAGTTCGTGAGTTCGAGCCATGGTTTGGTCACTCACCTTTCGTTCCTGTGAAAGTGATAAATGAGTACCACCCTATGGAATGATACAGGGGACTACATCACACGAGCTGTAGACTTTGCCCTAAAAAAGAAGACTAGCGGCTAATGCCAAAAGGCAAAGTTCAACGTTTCACCATAAACTTCGTGAAAAAGAAGGGTCTCAAAATGGTGCTAAACATTAAAACGCTGGGGACACCGACGTCTCAGCTCTTGCAGACCTTCCACTTTTTGTTTTCTCTACTTAGGTTTGTCAGTAACAACTCCCCTGAGCAACCTTTGGTTCGTACC